TATTGTACATGCCTTCTGTTGTTTCATCATTTAGGGCAGAAGAGAGGAGCTGAGACTTTAAAGCTCACATTGAATTGGGAGCATACTGCCTGCTATCATTTCCTAGCAATTTATCATGTTAGGCATAAGGATTAGTGGATTAGGAAAAGGTTTTATCAAAATCTGTACTATTTCTCTGAAGGTAGGCCAAATGACTGGGTTTATATGTAAGAAAAGAATCATACTAGCTGTAAAGAACATTTCCCAACCAGACTAAAAATGCAGTAAAACTCACATTTATGTTCTGGTACTCATAGATTTCTATTTAAAATGAATTACTTAGCACAGAAGTTATAATCAGAGCCATATTCCTACTCATAATTAGAATCAGAGCTGTATTCCTACTTATAAACTATGTGACCTTAAGCAAGTCACCAGCCTCTTCTGATCCTCAGTTTCCACTATATGAAAACAGTAGAATTCAGTATATTTGTGTAAGTATTATTCCTACCATCTTAAAATAGAAAAAAAATCTTATTTTTATTTTTCATTCTATTATTGTTGTACTGGGGATACATTGTGACATTTACAAAAGTTCTTACAATATATCATAGTTAAATTCACCCCCCCATCATTCACCCTTTACCCCTTCTGAAATAGAAAAATTCTTGACCAGAATTTCACAAAAGAATCTAAAGGAATAAACTATACAACTCAATCATGACCTGTAAAAATGGCCAGCATTTGGTCCTAAATCTCATTGACCCTAAACCAAACTTAAGAATGAAATGTAATATAAGAAATCTAAAACCATCAATGACCTAATGTGACCTATATGTCAATAAAACACTTCAAATGTAATTTTAGAATTTCATGAAACCTTTGTATGCTCTCAGAAATTATGGGTGATTACTGAAACTGGGCTATCCCATAGTGTAATATAATTCATGGAGCCATACATCCTATGTTAGTATGCAAATTAGCTATGAAACAATGCCCCACGAAAAATAAGAGAATGTGGGTTTCTAGTAGGGAATGAATACTTTTTGCCTTTTTTAAGACAGGGTACCACTATGCAGCCAAGGCTAGCCACTAACTTTTGATCATCCTCCATCAGTCTCCCAGGTGCTGGGATTACTGATGTGCACCATCATGCCCAGCTGAATTCTATGCTATTAATACGGGTTTTTGGAGTTAGGGATATAGTTTGATCAGTGGCTCACCAAGCCCAATATCCCATCTTTGATGGTGACACCAGGACCATTGGTTGTGAAGAAAATGAATGGCATTTGTAACCTTTATTACAAAAAAAAACTTAGGTTATAGATTCATTTAGGGCAAAGGGGGGTAAATTAAAAGCATACTATTACTGCAACTAATTAAAAACTGTATAAAAATTAACAGTATATGTATATTATGAGTATAATATATGTGTATTATGGGTATAATATTATTATGGTCTTTTGCTACATAAAATTTTTGAATGGTGTTAAGATATTCCTTAAAAATAGACCTGAGTTAAATCCCTATCCACATCCTAGCTTCCATTAATAAATCTACTAATTGTACTACTCATTTTTAACAACCAAGTCTTTTACTTTTATTTTATTATTTTAAATAAGAGGATCAAGGATAAATGTAGTGGTACATGTCTAATAATCCCAACACTCGGGAAGTGGTGGTAGGAGGACAGTAAACTTAAGACCAGCCTTGACTACAAAGCAATTTTTTTTTAAAAAAAGCCATTTCTAATCTCTGGGATTTCAAACTTCAGTCAAAACACTTTTCAGAACTTGTGAGATAATAGAAAAATTTTGAACTGAATGATAAACACAGCATATTAAAATGTCTGGGCTGATAGCTAAAATAGTTCTTACATCTATAATTTAAATATCTACAATGTAAAAACATTCAGTCTAGAATTAGAGGGGTGGGGAAGGAAGAGAAATCAGCATAGAATCAAGTCTAATGAAATAACTACCTAAAAATAAAAACTATAACTTAAATCAATGAATTAACAGGGTGGATAAAGTCAGAAGCTCATCCATTTAAAAGATTAATACAATTATCTAAGGAAGACTGATGAAGTCAAAGGGGGAAAACATAAATTATTACTATTAGGAAAAAAGGAAGAAATATCAAGACATACCCTCAAGATTTTAAAAGAATGATACAATAATATCATGAATTATTATAATTATAATACATTCAGTATCTCAGATGAAAAACACAATTTCAAATTTTACATTGGAAAAATTGTACATCTAAATACCCTTTCTCAGAGGGGGCAAATTCAAGTATGATATATATTGTAAGAACATCTGTAAATGCCACAATGTGCCCCCAGCACAATAATAAAATATAACTCTGAAATAAAAATCTGACAAAGACTACAAGGAATGAAGTCCAAATTCCAATATTCTTTATGAATTAAAAATCCTTTAAATAAAAAACTGAAACCAGCAATAAATATTTTTGAATGTGACAGGTCAAGTACAGTATATCCAAGAAATTGAAGGCTAGTCTGGCATCCTCTTAAGGGAAGGGGTGAGGATAGGGAAGAGAAAGAGAAAGGGGTGTGGGAAAGACCAAAAGTCACGTTTTCTCTCAAATGTGCAATATAGACCCAATACAAATACAAACAATACTATGAAAAACAGGTCACACTAAGGGGAGGTCACATACAAGAGAGGGAGGGTAAAAGAACGAAGTTAAGAAGGTGAATACAGTTGATGTACTCTCTATACAAGAATGAATATAGAATTTTTAAACCTTTTGAAACCACCTTAAGAAGGGAACTAAGGTACCAAGAAGAAAAATAGAGGAGATAAACCAATTCTGTCTATAATACAAATATATATATATATATATGTATACATATTTATATGTATATATATTTTTATATATATACATGGAAATATCAAAAGGAAACTCCCTGTGTAGCTATCTTAAACAAACAAGAATGTCTCTTTTCTTTTTTTTACAAAATCAGAGAACAGGAGGGTGGAACAGGTCCAGGGAAAGGAGAGAATGCTATCAGGGGGAGGTGGATGGTACCACTGAGAGAGGGAAGGAGGTGGGGAAAGGCCATGGGAGGGTAGTGCAAATACTGTGTACATATGTATGTAAAAGAAAAATGTTAGCTGCTGAAACTACTCCAGGAATGAGGGGGAAGAGGGATAAAGGAGAATGGTGGGGGAGTGAATTCAAGATGATATATTTAATATATTTTAAGAACTTTGTAAATGGCACAATGTATCCCCACCCAGCATACCAATTTTAAAAAAGGAATTTTTTTCTTCCACTCTTCCCTAAAACTTCAATTATTTCACTACTAGAGGAAAAATGAATGTCCCCTGATGTTCTATATTTATCTAAAATTATATATGACAATGCATTTCTAAGCTTTATGATATGTAAGTCGATAGCAATACATTTTCATTTTTTTACCCTCAAAAAGCTTCAAATCTAACAGATAATTACATATACACAAAGTGAAACAAGATAACAGCAGCAACCAAGCTCAAATTTGTCAGCATATTGCTTTAATTACAGAATCCCTAAATCAACCTCAAGATAAATATATCCAGGGAAAAGACCAACTGTTGAGGTTTATTCCAGTTCCTAATTGTGCTGTTCATTTTCTCAGCATACTTTCAGAAGCTATTAAAGAACAGATAAGTAAGATATAAGGCAACCTGGCATAGATACATGGCAACTAACTCCGCCTAGAATACATAAAAGAGCTAATACTGAAACTGCTTTCTGCATAAATACATGAGTACTAACATTAAGTACTAACATTCTTGAAAAGATTATTTTGAGACATTATAATTAAAGAAAAATAACACCCTTGTGACTCAGGATATTAGGGGTGTGAGGACTGCATTTACACAGATTATGTAAATACACACAGCTATCTATCCCAGTTAAGAATGTCCCATTTGGCTGGGGGCATGGCTCAAGTAGTAGAGTACCAGCCTGGCAAGCACAAGGCTTTGAGTTCAAACCCCAGTACTGAAAAAATAAGTCATGTTATCCATGTAAAAGACAATGTTAAGGTAGCAAGCAGAAAATGGTAAAAATGTGGACTTTTTTCAATGGTAAAATGTGCTGTATGGAGTGTCACAGCAATTAGAAACAATCTTGAATATTGTTCTGTGTCAGATAAATCTGAATGTTAAAAAGCTGTATGTACCCATTAGAAATCCTGAATACACAATTCATATTTTGGTTGTACATTCCTAAATTCTTCTTTTGTTGTTATTCTTGCAAGTACTCTTTAAATGGCAGTGAATGTTACTATGTAACTTGCCTGAGTGAGAAATAAAAGGAACAGAGTCAAAGAATATGGCTGACAGTTATCTTGACTATATTAAACTAAAACTTTACCTTCTAACGAAGCATTATTTCTTCTAATGTATTTTCCTGTATGTTTTTTCTATGATCATAATACACAAAAATTTATACATACCAAAGTGAAATCCTGTTACATCCAAGTATCTTTCAAGTGTTAATGGGGCAATTGCTTTGGCATTATTATTAAAAGTATTTTTAAATAGTGAATAATACCAGCATTTAAATTCTGAATTGAAATCAAAAGGCGAGCGTAATAAGAAAAGAGCAGGTAAAACAAAATGTTCTGAATACAAACTCATTAATACCTTTTAAATGCATCTATAAGACAGCATGCATAAACTAGGAAAATACAGATATTTAAAGCAAAAGCTAAACATAAAAATATCTTGAAATGTATTTTAAATATATAAGGGAGACATTTTCATAGCATGGTTTTTTAAAAATAGTGTCCAATAATAAAGTTATGTAAATCAGCATTTTTCTATGTTGGCAAAAGAACAATTGAATAACCCAATGGGTTGAACATTAGAAAAATTAGGAGGCTAGAGGTTAAAATAATTGTCTTTTCTACTTTCTGTAACTACTTCCACTTTCTATCAATAAGGTTTTGTTGTGTTGTTCTTGTATTTTTTAATGATAGTGATGTTACGTATGTAACTTGCCTGAGTGAGAAATGAAAGGAACAGAACCAAAAGGATCCTCTGGAGGATGATTATGTGGAGCAGAAAGTGGGTTTACATTCTTATCTGAGGATGCTCTCTCCTCCAGCCTGTCTGCAAAAATAAGATGAAAAAAATAAAATAAAATAAAATAAAAGATGGTCTTTAAATCAAAAGTGACACACACAATAAATCAAAGAAAAAATTACACAAAGCAAGTCTTTTTAAAAAATGCTAGATTTAGAGTTCTATTATTACACGTATCGAGACAGCCTGCATTTAACACATATTTGTTGCTACAAAGGCAGGTTTAATAGTACAATCAGTGCTAGGTTTCACTAAATATGGTTAAACTAATGTTAGCCTAATTCATTTCAATACTAATAGTCCACAACTTATAACATTCTACACTGAATTTTAAACACTGCTTACTAAATAGAGACATATTTTAGCAGATTTTCTCCAAAAATACACAGAAAAAATATTGCAAATGGTCATTCATCTATTGAATAGATAAATCCTGTCTCTCAATAGCAATAAAGAGTAATTTACTATATTTTACTTTGTTATCTCTTCTTTTATTTTATATTATTATCAATCCCTCACAGATGACAGAAAGTTTAAATATTTATCCAACAAATATCTGAGCATTTCATATGTATCAAGCAATGTTCTAAGCAACTGGCACAAAAGATGAAATGAAACAAAGACCACTACCCTATGTACTTTATATGCTGATGTGAAAAATAAGCAATGGCTTATTTTAAGAAATGTATACAGAATAGGCTAAGGGTATGTTTCAAACTGGTGAAGCACTTGCATGGCATGTGTAAGGCCCTGGGTTCATTCCCCAGCAACACACACACACACACACACACAATATAGCACAGGATAAATCAAATTAAGAGAGTGGACAGTACAGAGTGATTCTAACAGTTACTATGTGCGAAAAGGCTTTAAAGAAGCCAGGGATGGATACCTGTGAAAGAACACAGGAGAGGAAGGGCTGGGGCAGAGTGAAGGCAGGAGCAGGCCTGGGGTGTCTGAGGAAGAGGTGATATGTCTTAATTCCCTAGTAATGGTATTTCCCTGCTCTTAAACTCTCCACACAGTAGATAGACGCATCAACTGAGAACTTCCTGGTGTTTTTACAGGATGTCTCTTTCCTCTGACTCTTAGCAATCAAAATTATACTATTTGAGACTAATTCTCCAAGATATTTTAGGCAGTCCCGGGACTAGACCTTTAGTCCATAGCCATTCGAAGAAATGCAACTCAAGTTTCAGCCTGGTCTGTTTTCAAGAATGCACTGGGTGAATACTGTTGTGTTCAATTTAATTTGCAGGAATGCAGGAAGACGAGGAGGAATCCAAATAGAATCAGAACTCCTAAAAATAACTCGTAACTTCAGAATGAAGCAAAAAGTGCCAAGGTAAAGCAGCATCCCCTATAGCAATTCTTCACAAAGAAGATTGGAATGTGCATTCCAGTCACCTGAAAATTTGTTAAAATGCAGATTCTGGTTCCATGAGTGTGGGGTGGGTCCTGAAACTCTGCACTTCAACAAGCTCCAGGGTGGTATCTGGTCCAAGGAGTACATGCTTGAGAAGGCAAGACTATGGAATATATAATACCCTGAGTATAATTATTCACATGGACAACTAATTTTTAAAAAGCCTTTAGAATAATGAATACAATTACCAGTTTTTATAGCTAAGATAAATTTCCACATGAAATTTTGGGTTGTTTAAAAATTAACTTAAAATTTTATTGAAACACTAGTATTTTGTTGAGGTACTCATAGTGAGTTGCAGAAAACATCTGGCCAATTGATTTTGTTTCGTTGTTTTGTTGGTGATACTGGAGCTTGAACTCAGGACCTTGCTAGGCTTCCTAGGCAAGTGCTGTACCACTTGAGTCGTTCCACCAGCTGACAACTGATTTTGAAGCAACAAAAAAAGATTCTAAAGTTAAGTACTACTTTTCAAATCCAATACTGAACTGGGTATCAATGAAAACTTATTTTAGGTATTTTCCTGTATACTTAATTCAGGAAATTGGTAACAATTGCACCATGAAATTTTTTTTCATACTTCATTGCCAAAACACCTATCAAGGAGAAACTAGTGTAATACCATTTTTCTGAAAAAGTAACATTGGAAATGAATTTATATAATGAAGGTTCCTGTCTTATTGTGGTAGAAAGCCATGCTGAGACTTTAAGAACCACTCCAAGATTTGCTGAATCCTAGAGATCCCCTACGAATACCTATTTTGTCAGGCTCTGAATTCTCTTTGAGTAATGAAATTCAAGGGATTATGCCTTGCTTCAAAGTCCTCCTAGGACCTCCCCTGCCCCATCCTTCCTCATCTCCTAGATTCTGCTATATAAAAAAGGATAAAGAAAAATAGGGGGTGGGAAGGAACAAATGGGAGACCCTTAACTCAAGAGTGATAACTACAGCATGGCAATATCTAAGAGCCTTCATTCTTAAAAATCAAGACTTAAAGAGTATGAAGGTTGTAATGTTTTATGGAAAGAAGTCTGGTCCTAAACAGCTGTATCAAAATTGCCATGAGTCCTGTACTGTGGGCACTACCACAGACTTAAGAATCAGAATATCTACATTAAGAACTTGAGAATCTGCATGTCAATGTAGTCTACAAATTTATTAACCCTACTACACCAATGTTTCCCAGCATATAAAACTGTTAAATTACTACAAGGCTCTTTGAATCCTTACATACTTGGTATAGTGTCTCCATTGACCTACAGTAAATTTATCATGAATGTATAAACAGCACTGTGCAGTTGTGACAAGCGTATAAACAATATGATGATGGGATAAGCTAATTTTTATGCACGGTTTCCAGAATTAAAAATATGGGAGATGCTGTTCTATGCAAAGTTCATTTATCCAATTATTGTAAAACACAAATCAGAATAAATTATAATAAAATGAACCATGTTTAAATCAAAACAAAGAATCAGTTTTAATAGAATATTTTAAAATATTTAGATTTCTAAAAATTAAAGGATAATCTGGGTCCCAGGACACAAAATACAAAATAAATACCAATTTTTTAAACAATCAACTATCTATAAATAAAATGGTTATGAGAAGTTCCATTTCAGATACATAAATACATCTCCCCACCCCTAGCGTAGTTAGGTACCATTTTTAAATGATTGGTTTTCTTCAGATTAGGTAAAAGCTTGAAGTTGATCTGTCAAATATAAGAAACTTACCTTCCTCCTGCCTTCCCAAAAAATTCATGTTGGCAAACAAAGACAGCACCTTTTCAAGAATTTTAATTGATATAGATATCACAAATCCTATAATCAAAGTATATCCCAATCACCATAAAATTAAAATACTCTAAAAAGTTAATTCTGCTGGCTATATGGATAGTGGCTTAAAAGGCCAAAACATTAATAAATAAGGTTTTAGAAAGCAGTCTTCATCTGATACCCTTAAAACTGTCCTAATATGCACTGAAGGTACACTGATATGTCTGAATGAACTATAAAAGGTGAGAGTTAATGTTTTACAATTATAGATTCAGAAATTTATATCTATTTTATTCTGTGGCTTCATAAATAAAACAACATATTCAGTAGAAATGCAAATCAACCATAGTTGTTAATATCTTCTATTATTCCTTTTAGTTATTTTGATGAAAAAATTTTAAACAGAAACAAACAACAAATCCATCATCAACAAAAAAGATTACATTATTATTCTTAATTAACATTTGGAACCTTACAACTATTTGGACAAATGCATATTGAAAATTTCTCCTCAAACTCCTTGCATTCTAATTACATATTAAATACTATGACAATTAAATTTCTAAACTTTACATAACTAAATCAGGATGTTTTGGTACAAAATGACAAAGACAAGCTTAAATTTAAAAAAATTATTGAGACAAGCATTATTACTAATGCTTAATCTTGATTTAATGTATTGGTCTTAAATTTAAGAATCAACTGTTTTCCTAAAGATCACTTTAAAAGTTGCCAGTAATTACTAATATTTTAGAATTCTAACATGTCAAAATATTATGATTTTAAAATTACATTCTACATAACACACACAAGTAATACATTTCCTAGAGGACAGTCCTTTTTCCTTTTTTCTAAAGAAATAACCACGTATTATTTTAAAAGAAAGACTTCAAATGACACTGTATTATTTTGCCTGAAATTGCTTTGCAACTATTACCTCATTATATGTAAAATGTCCATATTCTGAAGGACCACATAAACATTTTCAGTCTCTCACTGAAAAGCATTTCATAAACCAAATATAAATTATTTTAGAAATAACTTTGGAAAAATATTAATAAGTACCCAAAAAAGTACAAATATTCTATTTGACATTTCAATATTCTACTTGACATTTCAAATATGTTAATTTATTTCTTCATTTTGGATAAAGTTTTTGGGAAAGCAGAACCAATCAGTAATGACCAATCATCAATTTTCACTGCATAGTTGGTCTTCTACTGGAATTCTTAAGGTTCTGGAAGAGGTCTTTTGTCTATCAGTATAATTTAAACCTTATCAAATAGGTCAAATATTAGCTACATTATTACTTGTACATAAAGTGATACTAATAATGACTGAATATTACAGCTAAGTAAAACTATGGGAAGAAATATTTCTTGACTGTATTCTACAATGACTATTAAATATTAAGGGAAAAAAACTGTTCCTTTACTGTGACATGTTTGCCCACAAAAGTAATTTGATTTTTAGTTCATCAGCTGAGGAACCTTTATTTAAATATAATTTTAAAACATCAGCTAACCATCAAAAACCTCTTAAGTCAGATCTTAAAGACCTACCTACACTGATGGCAAGAAAAGAGAAAGTGACATATATTTCCTAAGTGTCCAAGACTCTTTAAAGACATCAGTTCATTTAGTTCTCCTGACAACATACTGAGGTAAGCATAAACTGGAAACTCATTTCCAGTTTATACAGAAGGAAATGAGTCTGCCAGCAGCTGAGTGACTTTCCTGAGATTACAATCTATTTAAATGCCATCACCAGACACCAGAATTCATGTTTTCTGATAACTACGTGCTGAATTAAGTACAAAGGC